ATGAAAAAACTCCCAACAACCAAAAGCCCAAGAGGAGAGGAGTTCACAAGTGAATTCTACCAAACATTTAAAGAAGAGTTAATCACTAATCTCCTAAAAGTATTCTAAAAAGAAGAGGAAGGAAAACTTCCAAAAAACTTCTAGAAAGTCAGTATTGTGATATCAAAACCAGATAAAGACACTACAAAGAAAGAAAACTACAGGCCGATATCCATGATGAACACAGTTGCAAAATTTCTCAACAAAAGATGGGTGCCTGGATGGCTCAATCAGTTGAGCACCCAACTCTTGGTTTTGGCTCAGGTCATTATCTCAGGATTATGGGACTGAGCCCTGTCTCAGGCTCTGTACTCAGTGGGGAGTCTGCTGGAGATTCTGTCTCTCCCTCTCCCTCTGCCCCATTCATGCCCTCTCTTTCTCTTTTCCTCTCTAAAATAAACAAATCTTTAAAAAATTCTCACCAAAAGATTAGCAAACCAAATTCAACAATATAATAAAGATTTATCATAATCAAGAGAGATTTATTCTGGGGATGCATGAATGATTCAATATTTGCAAATCAATCAGCATGATACACCTCATTAACAAAATGAAGGATAAAAATCATATGATCATCTCAATAAATGCAGAATAAGCATTTGACAAAATTCAACATCCCTTCATGATAAAAACTCTCAACAAAGTGAACTGAGAGAGACCATACCTCAACATAATAAAGGCCATATATTACAATCCCACAGTTAACATCATACTCAATGGGGAAAAAACAAGAGCTTTTCCTCTTGATCAGAATCAAAACAAGGATGTCTATTCATGTTACTTCTATTCAACATAATAATGGAAGTCCTAGACACAGCAATTAGGAAAGAAAAAAATAAAAGGCATCCAAGTTGGTAAGGAAGAATTTAAGCTGTCACTATTTTCAGATGACATGATACTATACATAGAGCCTAAAGACTCTACCAAAAAACTACTAAAACTGATAAATGAATTCAGTAGGGTTGCAGAATACAAAATATACAAAAATTTTTTGCATTTCTATATACTGATAACAAAGTAGCAGAACCAAAATTGAGCAGAAAATTCCATTTATAATTACACAAAATGGAATAAAATACCTAGAAATAAACTTAACCAGAAAGGTACAAGACCTGTACTCTGAAAACTATAAAACGTTAATGAAGAAGATTGAAGGTAACATAACAAATGGAAAAATATACCATGTTAATGGACTGGAAGAATTAAGATCACTAAAATGTCCATACTACCCAAAGCAATCTACAGATTCAGTGCAGTCCTATCAAAAAAACCAACAGTATTTTTCACAGAACTAGAGCAATAATACTAAAATTTGTATGGAACCACAGAAGACCTTTAATAGCAAAAGCAATTTTATGAAAGAAGAACAAAACTGGAGGTATCACAATACTAAATTTAAAGATATACTATAAAGCTACAGTAGTCAAAACAGTATGTAGTGGCACAAAAATAGACATATAGATCAATGCAACAGGACAGAGAACCCAGAAATAAACCCACACTCACAAGATCAATCTATGACAAAGGAGGCAAGAACACACAATGGAGAAAAGACAGTCTCTTCAATAAATGGTGTTGGGAAAACCAGACAGCTACATGCAAAAGAATGAAACTGGACCACTTTCTTACCTCACACACAAAAAGTAAAATCAAAATGCACTAATGGGAGGGATAGGGTGGCTGGGTGATAGACATCGGGGAGGGGGAGGGTATGTGCTATGGTGAGTGCTGTGAATTGTGCAAGACTGTTGAATCACAGATCTGTACCTCTGAAACAAACAATATATGTTAAAAAAAAAAAAAGAAGATAGTAGGAAGGGAAGAATGAAGGGGGGGAAATCGGAGGGGGAGACGAACCATGAGAGTCTATGGACTCTGAGAAACAAACTGAGGGTTCTCGAGGGGAGGGGAGTGGGAGGATGGGTTAGCCTGGTGATGGGTATTAAAGAGGGCACATTCTGCATGGAGCCCTGGGTGTTACACACAATGAATCATGGAACACTACATCAAAAACTAATGATGTATGGTGATTAACAATAAAAAAAATAAGAGGGACTCGGGGTTCCTGGGTGGCTCAGTTGGTTAAGCGACTGCCTTCGGCTCAGGTCATGATCCTGGAGTCCCTGGATCGAGTCCCGCATAGGGCTCCCTGCTCAGCGAGGAGCCTGCTTCTCCCTCTAACCTTCCCCCCGACATGTACTCTCTCTCTCTCTCTCTCTTACTCTCACTCTCTCAAATAAATAAATCTTTAAAATAAAAAAATAAAAAAATAAGAGGGACTCAAAAAAAAAAAAATGCACTAAAGACCCAAACATGTGACTTGGAACCATAAAACTCCTAAAAGAAAAGATAGGCAGTAATCTCTTTAGACATTGGACTTAGCAACATTTTTTTAGATATGTTTTCTCAGGCAAGGGAAACAAAGCAAAAATAAACTATTGGGACTACACCAAAGTAAAAAGCTTTTGCACAGTGAAGAAAACCATCAACAAGATGGAAAGGCAACCCAATAAATGGGAAAAGATATTTGCAAATGATATATCTGATAAGGACTTAAGAGGCAAAATATGTAAAGAACTTACACAACTCAACACCAAAAAATCCCCAAAAATTTGACTAAAAAATGAAGGGGCAAAGAACCTGAAAGACATTTTTCCAACAAAGATGTACAGATGGCCAACCAGACACATGAAAAGACTCTCAACATCACTAATCATCAGATAAATGTCAGAACCACAATGAGCTATCATCTCACACCAATGAGAATTGCTAGCAACAAAAAGACAAGAAATAATGACCGTTGAGGATGTGGAGAAAAGAGAATCCTTATGCACTGATGGTAGGGAATGTTAAGTTGGTGTGAACACTGTGGAAACAGTATGGAGATTCCTCAAAAAAATTAAAAATAGAAATACCATATGACACAAAAATTCTACTACTGGGTGTTTACCCAAAGAATACAAAAATGCTAATTCAAAAAGATAACCCCATGATGTTTACTGCAGCATTATTTATAATAATAGCCAAGATATGGAAGCAAACTAAATGCCCATTGACAAATGGATAAAGATTTTATATATATATATATATATATGGAATATTACTCAGTCATAAAAAATGAGATCTTGCCATTTGTGACAACATGGATGGACCTAGAAAATATTATGCTAAATGAAATGTCAGACAAAGACATATACCATATAATTTCACTTATATGTGGAATCTAAAAAAAAAAACCAAAGCAAACATACGAAGCAGAAAGAGAACTATAAATACAAAGAACAAATTGGTGGTTTCCAGGGGAAAGGTGGATGTGTGGAATGGGCAAAATGGGTAAAGGGAAGTGGGACATACAGTCTTCCAGTCATGGAATGGATAAGTCACAGGAATAAAAGGCACAGCATAGGGAATATGGTCAATGATATTGTAATAACATTGTGTGTATGGTGACACATGGTAGTTAGCACTTGTGGTGAGCCTAGCATAATGTATAGACTTGTTGAATCACTGTGCTAGACACCTGAAGCTACTGTAACCTTGTATGTCATATATAATTCAATAAAAAAGATACAAACTTAAACTTATAAGATAAATAAATCTTGGGGATGTAATATACACCATGGTGACTACAATTACCAATACTGTATTAAATATTTGGAAGTTGCTAGGCAAATAGATTTTAAAAGTTCTCATCACAAACAGAAAAAACTTTTGTAACTATGCGGGGTTATGGATGTCAACTAAACTTATTTTGGTGATCATTTGTCAATATATACATATATAACATTTTTGTATACCTTGAACTAATACAATATTAAATGTTAATAATATCTCAATAAACTGAAAAAAAAACACTCTATCCTAACCACTGAATCCAGAACTCACATCCATTAGGACCAGCTTGTTCATTATGTTGTTCATACTTATGCTATCCTTGCAGATTTAGATCTACTTAAGAGAAGTATGTAAAATACCCAGACAAACCTCTGGCAAGATAAATCAAGAGAAGAGGAGAAAAAAAAAATCAATATTATGAATGTAATAGGGGATATGACTAAGTGGTAACAAAACAACTATATGCTAACCATTTTGAAAACTGAGACAACATGGAAGAGTTTCTTGATACCTTATGAGATGTGACTGAAAAAAAAATTAAAATCTTGAATAGTCCTGTGACTATGCAGTGGTTAAAAAATCTTTCCCCAAAGGTGAGGTTAGATAATAAGAATAATTTTAAGGATATATTTTTCTGGAGATCAAGAGATAAATCAGGCCTAATACATGCCAATACATTATCAGAGAGCACGTAAAACAGAGAAACAACTATGATAACAATTGTAAAAGATAAAATAAGATGACCTTGAATATGTATATCAACAAAAGCTATTGCTGCTCTAAAAAGCTCAGCTGGCAACTTGCCTCACCTGGGCTGTTCACCGGCTGATGGGCCAGGCCTGTTGTTTGGAGGCAGAGGCTCTCTCCATCAGACTAATCATCAACCACTACTGATCACAACTTCTGCCAGGAAGGAAGAACACCTTTGTAGGTGGGATTTATTGGAATGAACCAATTCCGATACAGAAAATAAAGCATTTGAGTAGAAAGGAGGCATTTGTAAAGTTTTGGGAGTGTGATTACTATTGCCAAACTATTGCCAAAAATTTCTAGATTTTTTTTTTTTTTTTTTTGGTTTATGAGAAAGAGAAAGGTATCCCACTTTCCCCATTTCCAGGATATTATACATATTTTCAAAGCTCACCCCCATCTTCATTTTCACTAGGGCTCCATCATTTCTTAGGCATCATTTTTAGGAAGCAGGATGAAGTTTACTGGCAAAACTAGATGCACAAAGTTAGCTCAAACCTCTTTCTACGTGTACGTACGTATCTCTTCCTTCAGTAGTAGCACTGCAAAAAGTAACCTCACTGAGCCAAACAAACTTCAAAAGGAACTTCAACCACTCACCTGGATACAAGCCAGAGGCTCATTTGTCCAAATCGAATATCCACCAACTAAATATATTCTCTCATTATGGACAGCAACTCCAGATTCATTTTGGCCTAAAGTAAAGAGAATTGAGTAGAAAGAAAAAATAAATCCATTTCCTTGCATGTCTTAATTAACCCTTTTGCCACTGAGGGATACAATTTCCCCCTGTGGCACTCTTGTATGCTCCACAGGATTTTTGCAGCAACTAATCACCGCCTCCCTGTACTCAGAGGGAAGAATTAACCACTCTTTCACAGAGAATGAATTTGTGTCAGGTCAGAACCAAGCCAAAACACTTATTTGCCAGCCAAGTGGATAAATACAGCATTAAATACAGCAATAATAAGCAATAACAAAATAAGAGTTCTATTACTATGTCGTATTACAGCGGTGGAAACAAGATGTATTTTCAAAATGCAAAACACCTCTATAAATGCTTTTAAAGTAAGTGCTTACATTTGTAAGGTAACAGCTACAACCCAAGAAGCCAATAAAACAGAGCCATGCCCCGAGTGTCCCCCAAATGAAGACAAATGACAGAAAAAATTGATAAAGTTACTACCCTTTCTTTTTCTTAAAGATTTTATTTATTTATTTGACAGAGAGAGACATAGCGAGGGAGGGAACACAAGCAGGGGGAGAAGGAGGGGAGAAGCAGGCTTCCCCGCGGAGCAGGGAGCCCGATGTGGGGCTCGATCCCAGGACCCTGGGATCACGACCTGAGCCGAAGGCAGACGCTTAATGACTGAGCCACCCAGGCACCCCAACTACCCTTCCTTTCTTGACATACACAACAGTTTTAGGACTATATTAAAGTTCCCGATCTGGGACCAGATACTGACATGCCAAAATGATGAAAGCTTCCTCTCCCATTTTAAAAAAAGAAGACAGAATAACTCACTACCACCTAATCTTCCCTGGAGGCCATAAGAGTGAGAGTTTCTCTTTATTGATGAGCTGACACCAGATTGACTGCGGTAATAAATAAGTTGGATTCTACAGCAGCCAGAATCACAGATCCAGGGACCGAGGGGCTAAGGTGCCACTACAGCAACTTGGAGAGGGTTAAGTACTTGTAGGTGGGCCTCAACCATCATGGTCACAAAAACAGGAACTCCATACAAGGCATCTAACCCCCTCACACTGGTTCCGCACTTGCTGTTGCCTCCCCGGCAGCAGCTGTTAGGGTTGGAGTGTCCCCTCAGCATATTAAGAGGTCTTCAGGTGCTAGTCCAACCCACCATTTTGAGTTTGTGATTTTTCTATTTAGCAGAGCAGCCTGGAAGGGACCTGATCACCTGCGCATGTTTATAATGCAAGCTGACAAGGGATAGAAAGGTTTCAAGTCTGTAAAGAAACATTAGGGGTAGGGCGCCTGGGTGGCTCAGTTGGTTAAGCGACTGCCTTCGGCTCAGGTCATGATCTTGGAGTCCCGGGATCGAGTCCCGCATCGGGCTCCCTGCTCGGTGGGGGGTCTGCTTCTCCCTCTGACCCTCCCCCTCTCCTGCTCTTTGTCTCTCATTCTCTCTCTCTCAAATAAATAAATAAAATCTTTAAAAAAAAAAAAAGAAACATTAGGGGTAAACTGTTCACTGCTTTCCTTTTATTCCCTTTTGGGATGAGGAGGGTCCACACCTAGTGTTGCCCTGGGTAATGCTTGAACCCCTATGTGGCTGGAAACACCACCAAACCCCCTATGCACAGAACTCCAAGATTTAGCTGTTGGGAGACTACAGCCAGAAACCATACCTGACAGTAACAAATAATGAAGACCAGACTCCTGACCTCAAAATTAATAAGACTAAAAGCAAAAAGAAAAAAAAATAAATTGCTTCTGTAAAGCGTTATTAATCCTCCGGTTCCTCCTAATTGCCTCAGAGTTCCTATGTGAATATTTATTGACAAGAAAGGATTTGACATACCTCTCTCAGCCAAGATGCATGAAGGTAATAGAGGCCCTGAGAAACTAGCTCAGCCACTTGACTGAGTCACGTTTTGTGAGATAAATAATGTGCACCTTTCTGGTTAATAAACACAAGTTGTTCTGCCATGATGCACTTGGTATTTAGGGATGCACTGAAGAGGTATAAGAAAACAAGTGTGGCAATTTCTTGAATCTCTGCTTTTCCTGATTTACTTAGTCAAAGGTACTTGCCAGTCAACAGGCTGAAAGTACAACGCGTCCACTGGTCAGTGTCTATGTTATAAGAATCTATATGGCGCACAAGGATCCGGTCGTTATTGTAGTCCAAGTCGTTGCCTCCAAGAACATAAAGCTTTCTTTGAACAGCAGCCATGGAATGGTAAACCCTTCTCTGCAGCATGGGACTGCGGCTTATCCATTTATTCTGAAAACAAAAAAAAAGAAATTCAGGTGGATTCTGTTAATAAGAGACCTCCACGGCAGAAAACAGCAGTGCCTCATTAGTAGCTGGGACTCTGCTTTATCTATCACATTCCACTGGAGTGCTGCTTACATACTCTGAAAGGTATGGGCTTCTTACCTGAGAACAAGTAGAGAAGAACCATGTATGCCAAAACTTTATTTTGCAATGTACAAATTCATTTCCTCTTGTTTGGGTTGCATTTTATAGGGCATTTGCATTTTATACGGGGAGCACATGAGAATATAGAAATTCTCATGATGGTTCTCTCCCCCAGTTGAGAGAACTTACTCATGTAAATTGCTTAAGAGTGAAAGCACATGGCTAGGTATAATGATTTAAGAAAACAGGCTCTGGATCCAGAATGCTTGAGTTTATAACCTCTGTGTGACCTTGAGCAATGTACTTAACCTCTCTGTGCCTATTTCCTCACCTGTAAAGTGGGGAGAGTCATACCATACCTGACAAGCTTGTTGTGAAGATTAAATTAGTTAATACAAAACATCTAGAAGAGTGCCACATAATGTCCAATAAATGTCCACTTTCAAAAATTATTCTGATAGTAATCGCTGGCTACCCAAGGCTTCTACATAATCTAGGGCTAGGGTGACTGAGCCGTTCTTTCCAAAATTAACCTCCCAAGATCAATGGAAGAGCAAAGATCTGGTTTCACAACAAAGTCCCATTGCTGCCTTTGTATTAGCCCCTTTTAACATATTTATAATCATATCGTCTACCAAACAGGGAAAAGTTATTTCTAGGCATACATTTGTTTTGATAAAAGGCCAAATTTTATACAACTTCAGGAATGGTGAAACCTCGACTATTTGGTTCTAGGTCACTCAGTAATGAGAAAGACATGCTCAACTCCTCTTCAATATGGCTCCTTTCAAAAATCTAATGTAAAAGGCAAAATTAGATGAAAATCAAATACGACCTTAATTTTAAATCTTAACTGAGCAATGGACAGGTAAGTAAACCTAACCATTTCCTTTGCACATAAACACTAACCTACAGGAAGAACCCAGATTCCTTTTGCCAAGAAAAATTTGGATTTTGATAGAAAGATCATATGATGTCTTTAATACATAGAATTTCACCAGTTCACAAAGCTGTAAAGGAATAAGCCAAAAAAAAAAAAAAAAAGTTTATATAAATATTGGTCCATTCACTAAAGGCCTATCTACTAGCTCATTTCTAATTTCTTTTTTTATTATGTTAATCACCATACATCATTAGTTTTTGATGTAGTGTTCCATGATTCATTGCATATAATTTCTTTTTTAAAGATAGACTTAAAAAGAAGAGTGGTTTGAACAGTTTGAAAGGCTTGCATTTATCTGCTCCCCCGTTTGTGTCATAAGACTCTTTCCAATCAAATGTCTTCTTTTAATAAGATAGCCAAACCTTTCTTTCAGATATTCTGTGAAGAAATATCGTCAATACATTTCACATGAGTGGATTTAACTCAAAACTCTGATGATGCCTTCCTTAGGTGCTTTCTATGAGGCAACCCATTCCAGTATTAGGAATCAACATTTGCATTAGCAGTCCAGTCCCCTGCCACAGGACTGTGGACGCCATCTGGTTTGTAAAGTCTGCCTGCATCCCCTGATTATATCCTTAGCTTCCTTCACTGCCGTGCCTGCCAGGTGAGCCGCCAACCACTGCAAAGGCAAAGAAACAGAGAGGCCTAGTGGGGTCATTCCTAATAAGCTAGCGTGTGAATACTAATCAGTGGTGGGGAAGCAGAGGTCACCCCAGCCTGCCTGTTGGCAGGTAGCGATGTGCTCTGTGGCAGATGGCAGGCATTATCGACTCTCCGCAAAGGCCTAGAAGAAAAATAAGCACCAGGGCTGAATGATAGAGTTATTGAGATTCTGAGCAAGATGCAAGCAGATGTGATGTTTGCCAGTACCCACCATAAACAATATGCCAGCAGAATTTTTAAAAAGAGCATGTGTGTACAAACATGAAACAGAACTCATTTGAGAAATGTTAACACCTTCTTCCTCTTTAACCACATGTGCACCGAACTCAAGCAACTGTAATTAATGATCCCTCTTGAGACATCTGGCCTATGGACATGTGGTCTCTGAAATCTACAGCTTCTAAAGACATCAGGAAACACACTTGCAAAGACAGAAACACGTTAAATTCAGAATCAAATAATGTTGAAATAAAAAGACACCAAATCGACTGAGGTCATTCAGGACACACATTTGGTGGCCGATAATGACCCAGGCTGCCAAAGCCAACCTGTTGTTTCATGTTCCATTATCTCCAGCTGATGACTATTAAATCCCCAGATCAAATCATTTTGGGATACTGTCATAATCATGAAAAATATTTACATTACCCAAATCATAGAAATGGTGAAATCCTGAACACATGTGCCAAGGCCACAGACATTTTGGTAAAAGGAAAAGAGAATAAAAATTGTTCTTCTTTTGGGGACCAAAAACTCATCGAGTGTGGATGGCAAGTGGGCAGAAGGGACAGACGCCATCAAAATGCTTCCAGTTCAGGCACCAGCTGTTAGATGAAAAACATCCTTCTACTTTTCAGATACTTCTACTTCAGACTTGTCCTTGACACTGCTCTCAGACCTTTTGGCTACGCTGAGTTAAATAAAAGTTATTAGTTTGTTTGGGAGTAATGAAGCAATAAGCATGTTCCCCTTTTGGACTGAGGCGCCTTCTAAAAGGACATACAACAGGTCAATCAAAATCCTTTCTTTGGATGCCTCTGAATATGAATAGCCATTTGAGATAACGGAAATAAAGGGCATTTAACCCATCAATGTATCTCCCCTTTTTTCTACATTATGCAAAACTCTGAAAGAGTTAAGCATCCTGTAATGCATAAAACTAAAGGAGCTGAAATTTTGTGAGAGGAGGAAAAAAAAAAGGCAGTTTATCCAGATGCTTCCTTTTCTCTCTACAAGTTTAAGATGCATGTGTGTGTACAGACTTGGCATTTCAACTACTAATTACTGTGGAAATCTTTTAAAATTCATTTTAATTAAGGTAATGAGTTTTTCTTATATGATTCTTACCTGGTTAGGTTCATATACCATTAGTCTGTTCTGATATTGTGCTGTGTTAGTTACTCCACCTGTAATGGATTAACATGTGTTAGAGCTTTCATGACTACAAAATAGGATATTCCAACATAAGAATGAGATACAATTAAAGGAAAATTAGCTACTGCTGAGGATCTGTTTGTATACCCTTGTGGTGAACCCATGACATAATTAAGAAGCTTATTGTTGAAGCAGTTTCATTTTCAAGAAACATTTCAGAAGCAATCCATTTGAGAGCAAGCAACAAGTGTGCTGAAATTACCAAGAGGCCCCAATCCTGGCAAGCTGCTCTGCATGGCCAGAATGAGGGGCGAAGTGTGGCAGAAAGTGGGAACGAACACCGCACACATAGACAAATCTCCACGCAATTCATGCCCGGGACAGAATTATATGGAAAATTCTTGTCCTTAGCTAAACTGGCAATTTTACAGCTCTAACCTTCTGCACGCCAACACAGTGATATCTTGATATTGCTCGAGAGGAACCATTTCTAAGAAAAGACATGATTTATCAAAAGAAATCTAGAGCCAGAGCCATCCAAAAGAATATAACAAGAGCCCCCCAATGTGAGTCACATATGCAATTTTAAATTTTCCAGTAGCCACATTAAAAACTAAAAAGAAACATAATGTAGATTTTATTTAACTCAACATAGCCCAAATATTATCATTTCAATGTGAAATTAATATAAAAATTATGGAGGTATTTTATATTCCTTTTTTCATATGGTCTTCAGAATCCAATGTATATTTGATACAGCACATCTCCATCCAGATTAGCTACATTTCAAGTGCCCAATAAGCCACATGTGACTAAGGGTGACCATGTTGGACAGCACTGCACACAGTCGATGTTGTTATCAACTTTTCTAAAGCCTCTCAACAGCTGCTTAGATCCAAAGACTTCTGCTTAATCAAGAACCACTAAAAATCATCACATTTCTAACAAAGTTTTCCTGTCTGTCCTCATACTTATTTTCATGTCCGTGGTATACACTGAGCCCTGTAAAACCCAGAAATTACTGATTCTCCTTTAATTTTTACCATCAAATGGGAGAACTAAAAAACATATAAAACAGCATTACAGAAAATAACACTAGGAGATATTAAATGTTAGGTAATAAGATAACAAGAAATGAGAGCAACCCCCCGAAAAATCTCTTTAGAAATAGTGCCTTATACATAGTTCTAGATGCTCATTTAAAATGAGTAACATTTGAATAAGTATCACAAAAAAGCAGCCAATTTTTCAATAAAGATCTAAAACTGAGCCAGACTAAAAGTGTTTCTTGTTGAAATTTTTTGAATTCAAAAAGTGTGTACTGTTACAATACAGCCTTAACATTTTCTCAGTTTGACTCAACTTTAGGCAGGCCTCTTTCTGTCTCTAGGCCCTTGACATCCCTTTTCTTAGAGCACTTACTTTAGAAAATCTGTAAATTCTTTCTCCGCCTCCTTGAGATAGGAATCATTTAAGAAGCTTCTTTCAAGTTTTACAACCCAGGAATAACTTCCTCAAAGCCCCAGAAGCCATCCCATTGAAATGTAATCATCATGGAATATAATGTCCCTATCTCCCAGTTTCTATGGAAGAGAGTAGGAGCCTCACTTTGTTGGGTGCCAAACAGCAAACACACATGGCCTAATCACAGAGAAAAACATTTACAAAATCAGGGGTAACTGAATGTGCTCAATACATCACATTGATCAACCTTCCTCCAAAACTCCTTCAGTACTTTTCTCACTGAGAAAAGCTCAGTGTTTAAAAACCCTCCTGCTTCTTCTTCTTCAGAGGAGTTGATTTCAGATTGCCTTCTGGTCTCCCTCCCATACTGCAATAGTCTTGAACAAAGTCTTCCTTATCTGCTCAACTTTGTCCAGTATATTTTTTGCTTTGACACTTCCAATACTTTGAATAGGTCACCACCATCAATTCCGTGGCCAGGAATCAAGTCAACAAGAATCCAGAGGATTCCTGCACAATCCTTAACTGAGCTGAATAATCAGTCAATACTAATGGCAACATAAAGGGAAGGAAGTCTGTCCAGGTCAATCATTACTATCTCGTGCAACCCCAATAAGGAGATTATTTCTTTCATATAATTGACTATGGCTTTTATTAACTGGAGGGCTTTTTTTAATATATATATTCTCTCTGAAGCCTGCAGCTACTTTTAAGATCAATGAAAGCTTTATCTGCAGCGTAAATCCACAAAGGACAGAGAGAAACGAGCTTCCTGCCCTCAAAGAAAGTCTTCTCTGCATTTCTTTTGAATGTCTCATTTTAAAATAAAATCAAAGGAAAAGAAAATACACTTAAGCAAGATGAGGCTTAAATGCCTATATAGAGTCAGAACGTACGCCCAAATAAACACAGAAGTATGTTTGCTTCTTCCTCCCAACCTTCCTTTTCTTTTATCTGATCAAAAATTGAACGTCCAATCATTCTTTCTCAGCATAACTATACAAGAATAATCAAATCTATTGAGACCTCACAAGTCTTCAGGGTTAAAATGATTGCCAAGTGCTTTTGATCTGGGCCATAAACACCAGATTAACATCCAGCTCACCTATAATCATTTCTCCAAATGAGAGGGAGCAGAGGGTAAAGCTCCCACCCATTATTTCAAAGCTTTGACAGTTTCTCTCCTTGTTTTAGAAATATGGGACAGAATTAATATCTACTGCAGTAAACTATCTGTTTATGACACTATTTGAAAATATTTACACTACTAAATGTATCAGACTCTGCCCATTATAGATTAAATGTACAACCAATGGATTAGAATATAGCTATTACATCCTCTCTCTTAGGCAGGGTGATATCTTGATATCTCTTGGGAGGAACGAGAATTATTATTTACTCTCTTCTACAGATGCATTTGTAATAGTTTCCCCCACCCCTTAATCTGCACACTGTAATTAGATTCCTTACCCTTACACACAAATTTTCACTCACATGACACCATTTAAAAATGAGATACTGGGTTAGTAGGTGGAAGTAAAAATAAAAATCCTAGTTAGTTATTTGGTTGATTACTTCTGGAATGTTAAACCACAGGAGGTGCCTAAAAAACCTAGTGGTGTAACTTTTGACAAGTCAGGATTGCAAGGGAAAAACCTTAGAAATTGGTTTTATTGCTTCCCCCCTTTGAAATAATTTACAAACGATCATATAAATAAAAACCATTTGTTCTCAGTACAAAAAAATAAATTTTAAAAAAGCATCCAAGTTTGCAGCCCACATTTCTTTAGCAGTGTTATTTGCAGAGCTTTATCATTACATTCTCTTCACATAACACTCTTCACTTTTAGATTAATCTGCTGAAATGAGATGCTAAGGATTTGCATACAGATTTGACTATACAAAAATAGATATGGAATTAATAACAGTCTCTATATGTTTTAATTTCTCCTAGACTGGAGTGCCCTTGCCTGCAGCAGTATTCCTGGCTTTGAAAGTCATCAGGCTGATTTGCCTGCTCTGGGTTATGATGCCCACATGCTGCTACACTGTCCCCTGCAATCAAAGCACTTGCAAAGATAGATTCTTTGCCTCCCTCTATCGAGTACATTTTATAGATTGGCAGTTTTGATCTCCCTCCCCCACCCCAGGGGGGGATAATCTGCATCTTAACAGCTTTCTATAGATACATTTGTCATTAAATATGCCATCTCCTATCAGCATCCATTTTTAAAGCCAAGTTTTCCCTAACTTTGAAGTGCCACCGTTGAAGTTAAGACTTTTCAGCCAAAATTGAAAATGAACAACCCTGTCTTATACTTTTGAACTATGACTTTAAGATATACTGCAGGTTCCCCCCAAGTCAAATAAGTCTTTAAAAACTGCCAGAAGGAATGAAAAGTTACCACCATGCTACCAGCAATGAGAAATGCTTTCTATCACCCAGACAAGAATAAAGCATTTTTCTTAAGCTTCCCTGTTCCACTCTTCACAAAACGTGGTGACAAATGGATGAATGCATATGGGAGAAAGGATGACAGGTGACTGCCAAACAAGTGACTTTTGTCTCCACTACGGGAATTCACTGACTCCCAAACTCATTGTGCTCAAAAGCAACCAACACTGGTCAATGCTGACAAGGTGTCTACATAATAGTGTGTTTAGGAAAACAGCTCTCAATATCCATTCGTCAGGGTAGGTCAAGTCTGGTGGCTCTGCTGTTTTGTTTTGTTTTGTTTTGAGGACAGACAATACATCTGTTGATAGACAGTCCTATACTACCTTCTTTAGTAAAAACCTGTGTATGGAATACTGCGCTAGTACGCTTTGAAGGATGGAGCGGGGTGCAAAGAACCGAACGTGTCCAGGCTCTCAGGGAAGACACTCTGGGCTGGAACTCTGCCAGCCAATTCAGGATTGTGGAAAACCATCTCATGTTCTCGGCAGCTCTCCTGGAGGACTGCAGTGGCCAGCTGTATGCTAGGCTCAGGGGCGAGCTTCAGGACAGGCTGTGGCATCACCCCGCACAGGCTCCTTTACGACTCTGTCCTTGCGGGAGCATCTAACACAGCCCCGCTCAGGTTCCTTATAAGCAAACTAGAGATGACAGCATCTCTCTTCCAGGTTTTAGAAAACCTAGAGTGCAGAGCATTAGAAGTGACCCATAGAGGAAGTTTACTACAGTACTATACTAGTTTATCTATGGAAATTTTTTACCATTTCCATAAAAGGTACAAATGAGCATGTATGGGATATTAAAAATATAACAAATCTAACAAAGTATAGAATTTTGAATTAATGAATGAATTTTGTAGTCTGAATTAGATTTCTTATTTTTTTCTAATAACTAGAATTACTGGCTGGTTTATAAGGTATCGAAAGCTTTTTTCTTTAATAGTTTAAAGCTTCTCCTCCATAAGAATGCTCTCTAATTCTCAAAAAAACTAAAACTTAACACTTACTGTCTAATTATCAAAAGAATTATTGGCATTAGGTGTGAGTTACACTAGTCATTTTTTTAAAAGATTTTATTTACCTATTTGACAGAGAAAGACATAGCGAGAGCAGG